GGGCGTATCATGTTTAATTGCTTCACAATAAACATGACAATACCTGATATTATGATTCATCTGCATGCCAAACAATGACACTCTCGATAATGTTACTTAAGGCTATTTTGGTTTGAAGGAAAAGATAAGGAAAGGAAGGAAAAGGTAGAGAAACCCATACAAGGTTTGTAAAAGTTTTCTCATCTTTCCTTTCCCACTTTTTCCTTCAAACCAAACACAGCATAAGGATTCACCTTTTGAAGTAGACAGTCTATGATGAATTTAGAATCTCCTCAATGGTAGGCAGATCACGCAAGATGAGGGCAAAATTGTGGGCTTCAGAAATTAATTTGCATGTTAGTTACTTTATTGATTATGACAATTCGTAACTTCAAAATTTTCAGAAATTCATAACTTTAAAATATTAATATTTTAAATTCAAGCTATGTTTTGGATTGAAATCAATGTTAGTTACTTTATTGATTATGACAATTAATTTACACGATCTCAAGATCATTATGGGTGTCAGTTTCAGATTACAAAAATTGCAGACAGACACCCCTCTACTTGGATTTGGAGTTTGGGCCATCCCCTACATGTTTTTTTCTGATTTGAGTCATTTGACCATAATAAATCATGAATATTAGATTATATTACCTTGCTATATGGAAGCCATTGTGGGTCTCAATGGCCAAGGGGTATAACGGTATTTATGCAAAGTTGCAAAGTGAAAGTTTGGGGTCATGAAGAAATCTATACAAACTCTTTAAAAAGTAAATTTACATCAACACTTCGGAAATCACAAGAAATACATTAGTGACCCTCGCAATCGACCCGACATGAAATGTTGAGGACTGAAACAGTTTGACACTAAGTGGAATCAATTACGAACTGATAATAATCGAAACCCTATTTCAGGACCCGGAACCAACCCAACCAGTTTTGGTCCATCAGGTCAGGCCCGACCATTGACAGCCCAAATTTCCTCCCATTGTATTTTTCTTTATTACAAAATTCATTTAATAATTTATCTTCATATTTTGTGTTAATCAAATGAATGAAATTTTGTGTCAACAGAGATAGTTATTGGTCTCAAGCAGTCAACTTAGACCAGGTTTAGATCAAACCCAAACATGAAAGGTTGAATTGAGTTAGGGTTAAAACATTGGCAACCCAATCCAACCCAAAAAAAAAACGTCGGGATGCGTGCGTTCTCTACTTTTTTTTTTACAATAATCGAACCTAAATGGACAAAATACAGTGGACCTCATCTCACATCACTACTTTCACTAGTTCAGTAAATAAATAAAATGGAAAACGAATTGCACCCAAAAATCTGATTCTTGTTGATAAAGAAGGGTGAAAATGTACATAGCCTAACAACAATTATATACAGACTCTTTTGACGACCCCAGTTCCCACTGCAAGAATCTTCATGAGCTCTTTTGAACAAGAAAACCCTGCTCTACTTTTTTGCATCCCTCCAAATATCACAAAACAGAGATTCCACCTTTTCGCTTTTGGGTATTGAGCTCTAAAACTGAAGCGATAGGAGTCCTTGATAAAACAATGTTTCCACTAAGATCGGTTGTACTATAGCTCGACATATCATGATCCAGCACAATTCTGCAAGAATCCCATGTCTCCGCCTGTAACTCGATACCAAAATACTCCAAGTGATCTGTGATGCTGTTCCCAGAAACAGATCTGCAAAGAAAATGATGAAGGAAATTAACAACTAGACGAGCCCATACCAAACTCTGTTGGAAAAAATTGCAAGGACAAAAAGAAGAATACCTGCTACAAGTTGGATCTTCCCCGGAACCATCGCAAACCTTCTCAACTGTATACACCAGGCTTCCCCACCCAATGTTGTAAAGCCAAACCTACATTTGGGAGATAAAATATGGATATTACTGATAAACAGAAATCAAAATATGGATATTACTGCCAGTCAGATATACAGTTGTGCTTGATGCAAGTCAAAAGGCCCTATTCTTGTAGGATATATCTTTTCAAGATGCATGCCTGCAGGATCTCTTGATCCATAATTCAATGTTTGTCTTTTGCACAGTGTCAATTTATTTCTACCTTGACTGTGTCAATATTCTATAAGAACTCAACCAATAAGGAAATATTTTTCTGATAATACAAAATTTATAAAAATAAAAATAAAAACACAAGAGCAGGTGATGAATAACCCAGGAAGGTGGATAAATAAAACTTCCTGCACCCCTACAACCTCAATCCATCAGCATTGTCAGACACCGACTGATTGTTGAACTGCTGACCAATGTTCAAAATATCAATCCGGTATATGCCCCATATCGGGCATATTGTATCGTATCTTTGGATGCCCATTACACCTGTTTAAAGGTGTATTCGGGAACCCCTTTTTTATTAAATAATACATATAAAATCATACTAAAAACTGAAATTTGAAAAAAAAAACTAAAAGAAAAGTGCATCAAACGCCTCTGCCGATGCACAGAGGTATATCGATAATTTGAACCATGCTGGTGACCCAGTGAGATTTCTGGGTCCCAGTGATTAACCACTAGAACTATTGCTCAATGAGCTTTCCTGTTTTCTGTCCACTCTAAGTCTGACAAATTGTACCCCACAAACCAAATCCAACAGTGCTAAATACCATAAAACACAACAATGACATATTTTGCTCTTCAGAACCAACATACAACATTAAAAACTACTACCCAAACTGTACACCAGCAATAGAGACCACCAAACAACTGCTATAAAACTGCAGACAATCACCTCTAAAGCCAGAATCACATCAAAGCAACTAAAAATTTCCAAACAACCTAATTTTGCAATAAATCTAATTTCAGGTATGGCATCACTTGACTAAGGACATCACCTACCCATGCCAGCCTGTAAAACATTGAAACCAAAATCTTTGTCAGACTAATTTGATAGCACTACCTCTTACCTTTTTCTTCCAGGTCCATAAACACTTGAATTTTCTTCTCTTCCCAAAAAGAACAATCCCAATTTCTTACCAGTGTTCTAAAAGGTGTGAAAGGCATACGCCTGGAGGCGCCTCCAGGCGAGGCACTCCGAAAACGCCCTGAGGTGTATGCCAGAGGTGTTGACACCTCTGAGGCATACGCCTCAGGTGCAAGAGGCGTATGCCTCATGCGCTTCTTTCATGAGGCGTGCTCATGCGCCTCATGCACATCTTATATAAAAAGATAGGAAAATAAAAAGAAAAAAGAAAAAAAGGAAAGGAAAAGAAAAGAAAAGAAAGAGAAGAAAAAAAAAGAGAGAAAAGGAAAGAAAAGAAAAGGGAAGAGAAGAAAAGATAAGGGGAGCTCCAGCGAGTGAGCGAAGCGAGCTCGCCTCCACTTCAACAAGACACCCCCCCCCCCTTTCAATTAATGTTATGCATCTTTATTCTTCTTAATATAAAAGATTTTTATTAAAAATAAAGAAAGAATGAGATCACCCCTTCCTCTTCATCCTCCTCCTAACCCCCCCCCCCCTCTTAAGGAGGGTGTTTGGGAGGCTTACGCCTCTTGCGTTCTACGCCTCACGCCTCTAGGTAGTGGAACGCCTCGCGTCACGCCTCCGCATTTTAAAGCATTGTTTCTTACGAATCTCAACTTCTTTTTGAACCACCATCCTTATTTGAAGTAACCATTAGAATAATATGAAACAAAATCCAATAAACTGGTAAATACAGCAAGAAAAGTCCAAAGTGAAATTTATAAACTTCTTAAGGCAGAATGAGATCATATTGTAATATTTATACAGACATAGATATAGTTTATTGTAGTTTCACGTGTAGAAAAAGGTGACTAAAACAATAGATTTCATAGAATCATGTATTCATGTTACCTCTCTTGGGAAGTGTTGGTACGTCTTCTGTGGAAAATAACTATAGTATGGAGGCAAATGAGGCACAATATCATGTCCATGCGTGACACGAATTGTATTTGGCACATGTTTTTTGAAGTAAGATACAAAAGCTGCATTGCCTGTACGGGGTTGTCCGAATGTCATAACCTGGACGTTATGTGTTCCATAATTAACCTGCAAAATAATTAAAGAAAAACAATTACTACAATGATAACTTCAGGGTATCGGAAACTGGTAATCCAACAAGAAAACATAAGGCAATTCAAGAAACAATTAATGAATTAAGTTCAGATAAGAAAGATAACTCTGCCTCATACATTGAAATATCAATCCCATTAAAAGGGCACTGTGTTGCCAACTATTATACTACACCATAAGCATATTAGAATTAGAAAGGAACAAAAGGGCAATGTTTTTTTCTCTAAAGTGTCACATGAAGAAAGCAAAAGGGATGTCCACACCTAAGTTTCACCGGTGATTGTGAAAGAGAAGGTGGTACTTTTGCATTTACAACTTTACAAAATTACTGATTTAGAACAAATGAAGCTTACTTTTTAATTTCATTTTAACTTTTATTGTCACAAAATGTAGAACTCCCAACTTGAAATCACAGGAAATTCAAATTTCCCATGCCTTAAGCTCAAATAAGGCATGAATATTGCTAAAGAATAACAAAAATGATCCATGCAAAACATCAAATACTTCCCAATACACACAAAATAAAAAAAAATAAAAATAAACAAAAAGAATAACATAGGAAGCACAAACACAAAACCCCTGCCCCAACCGACATGTATAACTATAACATATACCAAAAACAGCAGAAGGAAAATAAGGTTGGTCATAAAATTCTCTGTATGCATGCCATCTTTGCCTGCCCCACCACTCACCCAAGAAATTTCTCTCACACACAAATGCATGTATGTGCACAAATATTGGCACATGAGGAAAATAAATTCACAAATAATTACCATACATAAAAGAAGAGTTATATAATACCTACCACAAGATCAAGTGCACAAAAAGAGGCCATAGCCCCTCCCATCGAATGCCCTGTCACCATGATGTCAAGGTCCCCAAAAAAATTCTTGGCTCTTTTAACAGCATGAAGAACCCCAGGTCGTATTGTTGTGTTATGGTAAGCAGAATAAAATCCATGGTGCACCTGAATCCAAAATGGCATGAAAGCTAATAAGGCTCAACCAACGTAGACGCTTTTATTATATGTATGTTGTTTGTAAAACTCTTTTCTCTTGTATACCATAGCATCAGGCGTGCCTGGGTATTTCAGATCTAGTTGTTTCCAGAACAAGTCCTCAATCCAATTCTGTATGCTGCAGATATCAAGTCAGTCCAGAAAAAAAAAAAAAAAAAAAATTCTTAAGTTCGAGATGCTAGATAAGTTTAACATTTGCAAAACTGAAAAGAAAAATAACAATAAATTCAACTAGTTACTTTTGATAAAACTTTTCTTTTGTATAAATCTTTTGTTCCATTTTGCTAGGTAACTTGACCAATTTATTAAAATTTTCATAGCCTACCCTAAGCAACTAATTGTGTACAATGTCCATTGAGCCTGCGCTCACAGTTTAGAGGGGGAAAAAAGATCAACATCACAATGTAGAATAAATAATAATCCTAGGTATCATCATCATCATCTATAAGTGTCTAATGATACCACCAAAGGTAGAATGTTACTTCTAATGGTGAAGGACTAAGGGTACCAGTTTACCACAAGATAAATACTGGAGCAGATGACCATCTCTTCCCCCAAAGAATGTTTGTCCTCATTTCAACTAAAGAATTACAAATCTAGAATGCCCAGTCTTCAAGTTTGTAAAAGTAATGCAAGAGCAAAAGAGTAAACACTGGAATTAATTCAAATTTTTATATTTCCATTTTTTATAGAAAGGGTACTTTGGACATTTTATGCATGTTATCTATGGAGTCTGGCATTAGAGTTTGATTTTACATGCCCATAAATGAACCATGAACAGAATCGCCTCTTTTCTATTGTCCGGTTCAACAAATGCAGTATTTTCTGAAAAAATAAATTGGTTAACTTTTTTAACCATGCCATCAGTTTTTTAGAGCCATGAACTGAATACCACCTTAGCCTTTGGTGCCAAACAATCTCCTATTGCTCACATAATTGGACACCTCTTATGATCTTCACAACCTTTCATCCTTCCAAATCTAATCTCAAAATTCCACCTAGAACCCTAAATTCTATAGTTTTCAGATTTTCTTCACAAAGCAGAGTTTCGTCCTCTTGTGCAATGTAGAGAACACTGATAATGGTCCCCACTACTGTGCTCGTATGACTATAGTCAGTAGTTAGTTGTTAGTTGGTAGTTGGTAGTTATTTCAGTCAGTCTTATCTTTTGCCAATGTAAGCAGTAAGGGTATTTCAACCCTTTTATCTTTACTTGAGAATTAATATAAATAGTAAAGAGAGGGACGGGAGATCTAAGATCCTCTCCTTTTCTAATCTCCCCTTCGAACTCTTCTTCTCCTCCTCTCTTCTCTTCTCTTATCCTCTTCCTCTTGCTCAATTTGTCTTGTTAATTAAACACTAAAACTAGGACTGATTGTAGTCTTATTCGACTACATGCAATACATACTTCAACCCATCCCAAACTTGATTGCCCTCTAGGGCTACCATTTTAATCCTACCTACAAAACTTTATTGAAAAATTCCTCTCCAAGACCTAGTTTCCATTTTTATTTTAAGCATTTAGACTTTTTTCTAACCTAACCAATCTCTCTTTAGTCCTAAACTAACCCCTAAAACCATCCTAACCCTCCTAGGCTCATTCTTGGATCATTCAAGTTGCACACCAGTTTGGTATCAGAGACATCAGTCATGCATTAATTTGGTAACAGAGCAAGTGATCAAAAAGTATAAACTAAGTAACCCCATGCATGCATCATCAGTGGGCTAATAATGTAGTTATAAGAGCAAGTGATGCTTATAACTAAAAGGCAATCAGTTGTAACAATTTAAATGATGGATATGTTGACAATTGAAGAGAATAAGCAGGTACTCAGAACATCAGTACCTGCGTTCCTGAGTGCCCCTAAATGCAATTACAATTGCATTAAGATCCTGTGCCACCCCAACAAATGCCTGGATAAGAAGCTTACAGTGAGATCAAAGATTCAGGGATGGCTAATATGAAGAAGCATTTGATAAAACAATATCATGGTGGAGCCATATGGTTTCTGGTTATATAACCATGAAGTATAACATGTTGCAAGAAGAACTACCTGTAAACAGTGCTTCACATCAACAATCAGATCTATAATTTCAAATCCCTGTGTCAATTAGGAGAAAATTTATCATATGCACAATCATTAGGGAGGAAAAATACTAGACCCCTTTATAGATTAGGAAGTAACCAGAAATGATATCAAAAGGCTTCCTTCTTACATTTTGCTAGATATAAAAAGTGATGGTACCTTTGTCATGTCATCACATCTTGAGCATGTCCAAGTAAATAGTTCTGTGAGATTTGAAATGTAAACCTGCAAAATAAAGAACTAAGCCCCCAGTGAGCATCTGCATGTTACACAACTCAATCAACTAATCAAGCAACTTCAACTTGGTAAATACAACAAGAAACAATGTTGCAATTACCAAGCGGTACCGTTGAAACTGGATTACCAAACCATGTTGATAAAAAATTAGTAATTAAGAAACAATCTGTAATAGTTAAAAAATGATATAACTGAATAATTGAATTTCTCCTTTAGGCTCCAGCACTTACTCTAGAGATTTATTCATGAAAAAACTTACCGCTGAAGAATACTCCACTAATATTTTGGCAAGAGTGTGATTGTAGGTAGGAACATGGTCCTTGTGATGGACATTTACTTCTGTAACAATGAAGGAAGGTATCATTAGAAAGTTTTCAATAAATATCAGCAATTCAAGAGATCAAATTTTCATGTACATAATTAACTTTTGTCCACTGAATGAGCAAAGGTTTGCAACATATCAAAAAGTTCAATGAAATATTGCAAAAGCCTGCAAAGAGTAAGATGTTTTCCCTTTCCTGATGCAATTACATATTTTAACAATAACCGTAAAATAAAGAGCTACCTTCACAATAAGATAGTTTCCATCAAAACAAATAACTATGGTGAATTAATATTGGTTACTGATTTAAGCGTTCATAATTTAACAATGGATGTCATTAAACAGAACATTATGGCAAAACAGGATTCATGTAGCCAATCCCATATAGTTGTGATAAGGCTTATTCTAAGTTCTAGGAAGAAAGAAATACATGAATTTTCAAGGAAACGGAGAGGAATTTGGAAGCAATAGTTGAATGCATCACTTTCAAGGTGGCATATTGGGTGAAAAGTTTGGATAGCTTCTCATCACTCACAAAAGATGATATAGTCAAAATGTGGAGGGAACTGACAAGGACTTCTACAGGAAAGACAGTAAAACACCAATAAGCAGATGCTGGACACCATCTGAAGAGGGCTTCTTAAAGTTTAACTTTGATGGTAGCAGTATTGAGAATCCAGGCCCATCAAAAATAGGAGGTATTATCAGAAATGAAGAAGGCCACTTCTACAAGATCTTTCTTGTAGAAGTGGCAAGGACTTCTACAAGAAAGACAGTAAGATACCAATTAGCAGAGGCTGGATGCCATCTGAAGAGGGCTTCTTAAAGCTTAACTTTGATGGTAGCAATATTGAGAATCCAGACCCATCAAGAATAGGAGGTCTTATCAGAAATGAAGAAGGCCACTTCTACAAGGTCTTTCTTGTAGAAGTGGCTAGGACTTCTACAAGAAAGACAGTAAGAAACCAATTAGCAGAAGCTGGATACCATCTGAAGGGGGCTTCTGAAAGGTTAACTTTGGTGGTAGCAGTATTTAGAATCCAGGCCCGTCAAGAATAGGACATATTTTCAGAAATGAAGAAGGCCATATAGCGGCACTCCTTAAGGGCAGATATTATGGCAGTTATAGAGCAAGTACAAAGGGCAAAGAAGATGAATATCACCAAGCTAATTATTGAAGGAGATTCAAGGTTGGTGATTGGGTGATTGCAGGACGTTGAGCCTGCTCTGTGGTCTTGAAATGAAGTAAAGAAGTTAAAATGGCTAAGTAGAGGAATGGATGTGAGATTTTAATTGATAAAAAGGAAAGCAAATGGCATGGCTGATGCTTTAGCCAAGCAAGGGGTGAGAAGAAATCAATTGTCTAGGCACAGTTGTAAGAAATTAAAAACTAAGATATAAGAGTCCTTATCTCCCGAAGGGGTGAATGTATGTGTGTACATTATTATTATTGTCGGTTATTGATCAAAAAAAGGATGAAGATTCAGGTAGAAATATCATGTCAATTATTTGTAGATCTTTACTATTTTCTCTTTCATTTTGGAAGTAGGAACTAATCTTATATGCAGTACATGTGGGATGAGATCAGAGTAGAATATCTTAACAACCAATATATAATGCAGAATGGACCAACTATGCTTCCCTAGACAGACACTACAATCGGGAGTTTTTTTTTTTTTTGATAAGTAACAGTTAAAATTCATCCATACCACCTAAAAGGTACCTTTAGCTACAAAACCTTTTTTATTGGTACTTTTGGCTACCAAACCTTGTGCAGATGTCCAAACCATGGATTTCAATTTCGTCAAAATTTCATTTAGTGAAATTTCAATTTCACTTTAGGAAAGTGAAATTTAAATTACCAAATTTCCAATTAAGCTTCAAGATGTATTTGAATTTTTGGTGTATTTCAGCACAGAAAAAAAATTAGTCAATTAATAGAGTAAATAATAATCATATAGTATACCAAAAAAAAATCTATTTTGAACATCATCTGAAAGCTTTTTAAATATAACAGATCCTGGGAGTTGGTTTGCTAGTTTAACCATTACAGTGACAAGGGTTGAATGACCAAGGAATCTTCCATGAGGCAAATTGGTTTGGGGCTCAAAATTTCCACACAAGTTCCTGTCACTGTCCTCTCTTAACATTCGAATTTTCAACAGAAAATATTATTTCAACAGAATATATTACTTGTCCCAAAACACTTACAAAAACGTAGGGAATGGGACTAATGTGAACAGAACTGAACAACAGGTAGTCAATCAGAAAGTCCCTTATTTGGTAGGCGGCTCAGGTTGTCCACATCATCCCTGCACATGGCAAAAAATGAGACAGGTGATTGTAGGGAATCTCCCTACTTGACCCAAATAGTTAAGTCACTCATTTCTTCTACATGGAGGGATCTTGTAACAGATCCAAACAAACTGTCAAATAGGGATACAATGGATTGGCCACATATTCAATCCCAAAGTCCATATCTGCCAACATAACCCACCTTGTATCGGTGGTGGTTTTCATAACAAATAGTCTAATATGATCATCCAAAGTTTTAATTTTTTTTAATATAAAACTCACCTATGAAGAATGGTTTGTAGAAATTTTATTCCATGAAGAAAGGTCAAGGAGAGAAACTCAGAGTCAGAGACTCCTTTCAGGCTCCAAATCATTTGCCATGTGTAAGATCCATGGGTTGTTTAGGAAAGCTCGCTAAACAACCCAACTAGCAAACTCAACCCCGTTATATAAACATGTAGATCTAAAAATGGCAGAAATTTTTAACAAGTACAATGTATAAAGCAGAAACTTTCGGGCAAATTTACGAAACTTTAGGAATTTTCATTTCGTTCATCCTGGATGAAGTGCCAAAATTTCACGCATTTAAAACCTTGGTTCATACAGACTACTTTACCGACTTTAACAGAGTTATCCCAATTTCTCTTTGTCAGCATTCCGCAATAGAAAATTCAAAGCTTCAAGCGATACTTACTGAGAACTACGATGGCAACAAGTGTTTCATATAACATAATGTCGTTGAACGGATTTAAGAATTGCAAAAGTAATCCATGGAGCATACCATCCCTATGCTATTGCTAAATTTAATTTAAGGAAGCGTTGGAAACCTCCAAAAACTGCGAGCTAGCCTGATAGGTCGGAACATGATCACGGGTGCAAAGAACGGAATTCAACGAAAAGGACACATACCTCTCCCACCAGAAGTTGCAAATAAACAGATGAAAATCGCCACCTTTAGCCGCAACGATTTCATGGCCTATCAAAAGGAAAACATTGGATAATCAGGAGCAACCTAACAGAGGACAAATATTCAAGCAATCTTCTGTCTATTTCTCCTTTTACTGTTTTTCAACCATTAAATTGATCCAAGACCTCCAGAATCGACAAAGAAGCAGCGCATGCAATGCTCGTATTCGAATTGAAACCGCGATTAGTCGAAATTTGAACCACGATCTTCCCCGAAAAACAACAAACACTTGAAAACTTGAATCAGTCAAACAATGTTGACAAAATTGGGGAAATTTTTTTCCGGAAGTCAAAGAACAGTTGACAGATACTTTCCGGCGTTTTACGCCGGATCTTGATTCAGACGTTGAAATCACGGCCCCTGTTGACGAATTTGTTTGGAGGGTATGTGCACAAGTTTGGCAGATTTTGATGTACGGTGCGCTCGCATCTGCTACAACAAGCACCTACCCAAAAGACATGTGCCTCCTATAATTTTATCTCCATTTTCTCATTTGCCCTCCCTCATCCTCGCAATATGTTCTCGCACTCTACGAGAGAGGGATGACAACCACTAGTTCTGAATCTTTTGATCAGTAACAGTAAGGGGAGTCTACCCGAACCGAATAGAATACTTGGTTATTAGACATAGTAATGTGCCGGGCCGGGTCAGGTTCTAGCCGGACTTTATTACACTCGTGTCCGATTTCGAGCCTGAGCTTGAACATGAGCCCGGCCCTCATATAAAGTCTAAGCCCGGATTTGAGTCCGGATTTGGCCAAAATTTTAAAAATATATTTTTTTTTTCTTTGGCCAAAATTTTAATTCTTTTTTATTCAATAAAAAAGTGTTAAACTCAAAAATAATAAACATCTCACTATTACTTGAAAAAAAAGAGAAGAAAAATAAAGAAGAAATATTTTATATTATTTTATTAAATAAAATATATTTTTATTATTTAGTATATAGTATCAAGTCGGGCTCGAGTCGGACTTTTTTGAGAAAGTCCGAGCCTGACCCCAAAAAGTCAGGCCCGGTGCTTTAGGCCCAAGCCCGACTTAATAACGGTCCGAGTCGGGCTACCCGATCCATGAATGTCTATTGGCTATTGAGCTCGGATCGTTGAAATTGTGTTAGGCTCTTCGAGCTCAATTCGAGCTAATTCAGTTTGAGTTCGGTTTGGTTTAAATCTAATAAGTTTGAGTTAGATTGCCATCCCAAGTTTTTTTCTAAAAAATATAAATTATATATATATATATATTATTTTACATATAAAAATGATTTACTATTATACATAAAAAAATAAAAATATTATATATATAAAACACTATAAAAAATAAAAATTATGTATTATATATATTTATATATTTATTTATATGTATATGTATATGTATATGTATATGTATATGTATATGTATATGTATGCAAGGGCGGATGTAGAGTTTTTTTCTTGAAGGGGGGCAAAAGCTAGGAAACATAGGTAAAGGGTCAAAATATAAGTGGGAATTAAATGTGTTTTATTGAAATTTTGAAGGCATAGGGGGGAGCCATGGCTCCCCTCTGCCCCTGTATGTATGTATGTATGTAATAAAGTATTATTTATTTATTATACTAGGCTTGATTAGGCTCGTGAGCCGAGCTTCACCAGGTTCGAGCTCGGCTTGATTAGCAAACAAGCCTATATATCAGGTTTGAGCTTGACTCGAAACTCGATTTAAACCGAGCCGAGCCAAACTCAAATAACTCTTAAGAAACTCGGCTCATGGGCACCCCTATGATCAGTACAATTTGACACCAACAACCTTTGAAATCAAGATTTCACTTAAACCTCCCATCGTTTTTCTCATAAATACTAGAAGTCCCCCTCCTTTTATTCTGAAATGACTTGTACATCCCTTCTTAAAATAAAACATTGTTACGACCAACAAGGTCAATCAAAAGGCTCATTTACCCTTAATTATACTTTAAATTTTCAATGCATTTGTTGTTCATTTATGAAATGATAAGTACAAGATCGAACTGATATGGTCTTTGTAATTCTCAGTTCATCCTTTCTCTTTCTCCATCAAAAAAAATAAAAATATGCAGAAATTACCTTTAGCATATTCAAAGGTAGCATGTGAATCTATAATTATAATGTTTCTCCTCTTTTCTCCTCTTGTTAAATTACAGTCCCCTTTTGTTTGGAGTTTATAATATATTAATATTGATATGCAACTCTAAATATGATAGGAAAATGAAGGGAAATTATCTAAAACTCACCATGACTTTTAAGCATTTATCTTAAACTCAATATAATTTTTCAAAACATCCAGAGAACCCCATGTCATTGAGTTTTTGCTTTCCAAAACTCACAATCCGTTAGAGCACCATTAGTATTCATTTACAAAAGTTGTCCACATCAGCATAAATGCAATTTTCATGGCCAAATTGCCCCTGAATGGCTAGCCAGCCTTATTAAACATATTTGTATGATTAAAATGCCCTTAAGCACCCAACTGCCTTATATATAAGATTTCTACTTGCTGAAAGACGTTTTGCTTTCACCATGTTCATTGAAAGTATTCCAAGGAAGTTAGAAAATGGGTTTTGGGTCGAATAATAATAGGGTACTTCTGGAATATTGACAAATGGGTCAAATATAACAAAAGGATAAAATGGTAATCTATTAACACCTATTAGCCTCTTTAATGTCACGTTACTGACATGGGGTTCCTTAGACATTTTGAAAAGTTATGATGAGTTTAAAAGAAACGTTGAAAAGTCATGGTAATCTTTAGACAATTTCCCAAAAAAATGAAAGAAATATCATAACACGATCTCCACCAGTTCTCAAGCTTCAGAATTGCCGACAGTGATAATAGATCATACCATTTTGATTGGAAATTAACCCCCTAGAAAAAAAAAGTAGTTGATTCACACATGAGCAACATCGAGTTTTCAAAAAATTTAGCCATGTGTGAGGTTACATGCGTTCCATGGGACAGAGGTTTTGTCTGTTGACATCACTCAACATGGGAGGTAATAGTTCATTTTGAAAAGAGAGGGGAGGTCTTAATATTTAGCATAAAAGCAATGGAGGTTTAAGGTGGCATTTGATAAACATGAAATCTGAAACTTGAATAGTTAAAAAGATATTATGTGTCTAAAATCCGAAAATAAGCAATTCAGGTTTTGTCGTTTGTGCTGGGTTAAACCTTAAACGTCTGAAAATTCTTTATTTACTATTTTACCCCTAGAACAGACTACTTGGTAAAATTATAAAAAAATATATAAAAATAATTTATTAAAATCAAAATAACATTAAAAAATATTAATGAAATCCAATGAAAAAGTAATAAAATAGTTAATAATTAATAACAAATAAAATGTATAACCGGCCTTGATAGTTCCACCATTGTTGATGGGTATCAAGTTCCATCGAGGAGAAGAACAAAGCTTCGCGTTTGCGTTGACTAGAGGCACCTCAACCCTCCAATTAGAGTAATTTGTAGTCAGTTCGACAGTTGGCCTTTTCCAACCTCTTCGTTCTCCTCTTCTATGGTTAAAGTGACACCAAGACTAATGGATTCAATGGCTAGCGAAGAAGAAGAAGAAGAAGAAACCTCCATTGCAGACTGTATAGGCCAAGGCCGAAGATTTTGGCAAGCGGGACTAGGAGTATGTATGGATTTCAAAAGACAACAACTTCGAGGCAAAACGATAAGGTGTACTTAGAGGCTGATGACGTTCTCCGAGAATGCGATTTGCAAACCCATCACAGTATCAGAAACTACAAGATTTTCCTACTTGCCTTGGAAGCAATGGCCCTCTATGAAAAGCAAATCACATTTCCAATGCACTATAGTCTTGAAATTCAGAGAGAGAGAGAGAGAGAGAGAGTGTGTATGTGTCGTTGCCATGAGTTGCAGCGGCGATCGAAAAAGAAAAATAGAGGACGAAAGCCATGGGACCAAATAAGAAGAAGAAGAAGGAAAATAGAGGGAGAGAAGGCCGGAGGAGTCACTTGCCATCGCTAGTTCGCCGTTTTGTTAAGTGGAGAAGATGAATGGTGGGAGGGAAAAACGCACATGTCTTTAATTAAGGGTATTTTGGACTTTCAACCAGGTCCGAAATGCGTATGAGCACATTCAACACCTGACCTAGGTCTTATTACTTCAGATATGAAAATTCATTTCAAACCCAAATTCATATACATTTCCAAACACCTTTAGCATCTAAAAAGCAACATTTTTAGACTTCAGATGTTTGAAAAGTGTTGTAAAAAGCCATCTAAGTCTTTTACCCAAAAATGTAAGATCCCACAACATCAACCAAAATCTTAGTGGTCGTTAGCTCTCACATTTCTCAACAAAACTACATTTTATTAGTAAAGCTATTGTAAATAATATATATGGGTAAATTGTTGAAGCCTCCTTGAAATTTGGTAATTGTAATCACCCATTCAACTACTTTTTGACAAAAATACTTATTGTCCAATTTTTTATCTTCATATGAATCACTACCTTAAACCCTTTCAATATTTCTTTTAAATTGATTTATTTTCCAAACTTATGAGGGTCGGTCTACCCCTCCAGTCTTATTATGCCATGTGGTGACGAGAACGCTTTATGGCACTTTGGCAACACATGCGGTAGGATCTCGCTTGAACGCTCCTCAACAGATCGGCCTATGTGGCCCTAACAAACTCTGACCTGGCTTAAGAGTACATCGACAAATCAACTTACTAACTCATAGCACATGACCGACTTAGCTGCTCTACACTCCTAACCTACTTATTCACACTGGGCAACCCACGACATGAGGAACCTCTTTGACCTTAGTATGCCTTCTGACCTATGTGGCACGATGTCTCTCTTCTTCATTTGCACAAAGTAGTCAACACAAGGTGTATGTTGACGCAATGCCTACCTGGCAAGGATAAGCCTGCTTGCGCCCCGCTTCACAGGGAAGTGGATAAGGACACTCGTGGTGTTGTATGGACGCATCCTGTAAAGAAAGGACGGATAGATGTCAATAGACCAAATATGTCAATACATATCTCAATAAAGTCTCGAGGTGTATATAAGGGTGAGCCTTCACCCTCAAAAGGTGTGCTCACAATTACACACAAACACAAACACTCGCTTCAATTCTTACTCTATTGCTTATCACCACCTTAGAGAGCTCAATACTTACTTGATCGTTGGAGTTCCTTGCTTGGGAAATCCCTTGGGCCCTCTAACACACCCACGATGCCGTACAGGCGCATCTCATAAAGAAAGGATGGGTAGATGTTAATAGACCGAATGTGTTAGACACGTCTTAACCAAGTCTCAAGGTATATATAAGGGTGAATCTTCACACTTAGAAGGTTTGTCACAATTACACACATACACTCTCTTGCTTTAATTCCTACTATGTTGCTTCTCACCACCTTAGAGAGCTCCGTACTTACTTGACCATGAAGTTTCTTGCTTGGAAAACCCAATTGGGCCCTCTAACATCATCTTCCTTGTAGGTTTAGCATATAGT